GTGAACTTAAATTCCACACATTTGGCCACATTTAACACTTTTGGTACATTCGACTATCGAGTCTAAAGTCGAGAATCTCGACTTGCTCGACCCAAATATGGATGTTTGTAAATAGTGGTTGTAGTAGCCCAGTGGTGGAATTGAAATCAATAGTGACTGAAATCAATCAATGCCAAAAACCAATGAAAACAATCGTAAATTTTGTCAGAGGGAAAAGAAAGCGGAAAAGGAGAAATAGTGTGGAAACCTCTGTGTGTTAAAAAAAAAAGAAAATTTTTTTTTAAAGGGGCAAAGGAACAGAAAATTTTTTGCGGCCCCCAAAAAGTAACCTAAATTATCAACCAAAATTTACATTCCAGAGAAAATTTTGTCGTTTTCCAGGAAGAATGAAGGAATTCCGCGAGCTACAAGAATTCCGAAGAATGTATCACAAATATAACAAAGGGGCCAGCCGCGCGACCGTCAGCCAGCGAGTAAATGATTATGACGATCTAGAATACGTTGGAAACATCACAATTGGTGAGAGTTTGCCTTAGAATGACCGTTAGGATCATTCCAAGATCGAAATGCTATTTTCATAAATTTTGTTCAGGCACTCCCCAGCAGTCTTTCGCAGTCGTTTTGGACACTGGATCGTCAAACTTATGGTCCTTATCATTTGCTTTTTCTTTGCTCTGACGGACATTTGGTACTAATATGGAAAATTTGCAGGGTCCCAGACAGCAGCTGCAGCAAAGACTCAGAATGTGATATGTACTGCTCAAATGACCGTTAGTTTTACAAAAATCTAGTAATCTTAAAAAATAAAAATAGAAAACTATAGCAAAGGTTAAAAATTATTCAAATTGGCATTAAAATTTTGCGGGTATCCAGGGTGAAGAATCAAAAAACACCCCAAAATTTTTGACAGTTTTCAAATTTCGACGTCGCAACTTTCCAAATTCTTAGAATACTGCACCTATCTTTGCGACCACTACTGCTGCGCAGACGGGGAAGACAGTGACACTGATTCTGACTCCGATTCTGACAGTGACTCTGACGATGACGGCGACGATTACTGGTACGTAAAGGGCGCAAAGGTGGCGAAGAAGGTGAGAAAAGGAGACGACAACACCGTTACCTGCTTGACCAAAGCTCACCGTTTCAATTCATCTGCTTCGACGACCTACGTCCCAGACGGAAAGAAGTTCTCGATTCACTATGGTTTGGGCTTTGCCGACGGGTTTCAGGGCCAGGATACTATCAGGGTATGCAAATTGTGATTATTGATCATCAGTTTAGCACTCAAAATTTAAAGAATCGAAGATCACGATCTTTTGTTTTTTTTTTTAAGTTGAACTTTCACTATTGGCCTTGAGGACTAAAGAAAAATGTCGCCTTAAAAAAGAAAAATGTCGTTTTACTGTTTTTGGGCCAAACAAAATATAGGCGGTACCCGGGTTTAAACCATGGACCTCTCAACCTGAAGCGAATGCTCTACCACTGAACTATGACCTCACTATCTGAAAATCTGAGCAAAGCATTGAAATTTCTAATGGAAATGAAACAATTTCGAACTGAGGTTGAAGAATTCAATCGATTCAATCAAAGTTCATGATCATTGATCACTTAACTGTGAGGGTCATAGCTCTCGAATTTTTGTGCTCTGCATAAAAAGTATGTTCAAAATATTTAGTTCGGTGCCGCAGGCGACACCCAATTGGTGGTCCCGAATGTGACCTTCGGGCAAGCGACGACTCTCTCAAAGGACATGAATGGCGACGCCGCCGACGGAATTCTCGGATTGGCATTCCGCACAATCGCTGTGAACAATGTGGAGCCGCCACTCATCGCAGCCATCAGACAAGGCCTTCTGGATAAGCCGCTTTTCACAGTTTATTTGGACACCGAAGGCGTGAACTTCACTAATGCGCGAGGAGGACTTTTCACTTATGGTAAGTATATGCTATACAAGGTAAAAAAATGTTTTCTACAAAAAACTTTTTTAAAGACTAGTTGTTTGAAAAGCACATGTTTAAACTAAATCCGTTATACATATATAAATTACTAATTCGAGAGTTTTGGCAAATAAAATTAAGAGATCAAAGTTCATGTCAAAATTGTTGTTCTTTCCAGGAGGCTTGGACAGCGAGAACTGCGCTTCGGACGTAAACTACGTGAAACTGTCTTCAGACTCTTGGTGGGAGTTCAACATCGATAACGTCAACGTTGGCAAGAAGTACAAGCACAAGAAGAAGGCTGCAGTCATCAGCGACACCGGCACCTCTTTGATCATTGGCCCACCAAAGATCGTCAAAAAGGTAAGCGGAAACATGAGAAACTATCAAATATTTTTTCTTACGATCTAAATTCTTTTTCTTTCAGATAGCAAAAGCCGTCGGAGCAACGTACAACGATGACTATGGAGTCTACCTGATCGACTGCAAAGCCACCTATGAGCCGGTCACCTTCACTATCAACAAAGTGGACTACAACTTGACCAGCAGCGTGTTGACAATGGACGTTGGTCTTGAGGACAATACCTGCCTTTTCGGCATTGACGCGGTCGATTTTGGCGGCGGACTTGATTGGTAAGCACTATCAAGATTAGATATTGAAACTTGAAACTTATACCTCAACCTGGAAAGTCTTGAGGATACCTTCTCAGTAAATGTGACTAGTCTAGAGTCTTCCAATTTACCAACATTCCAATGGATCTGGCTGGGGAGACCTGGGATCAGGATCTCCCATATTTGGGCATCTCGCGCAGGAGTGCCAAAAGCACAATTGCTTATAACCAAATTTGCTCTTCGGACACCTGCGCGAGATCCAATTGATCCCCTCTAATGACCGGCTTTCGCTCCTATAAGAGTTGAGCTAAGACGTAAGAGAAAGATAATGGCAACAGAAGAGACGTTGCTTTTATTTATGAGTCATCTGTCAATTTTCAGGATTCTCGGCGACCCGTTCATTCGTCAATATTGCAACGTCTACGACATCGGCAACAAACGAATGGGCTTCTCAGCTTCCCTTAAGCTTCAGAATAACTGATAAAATTTTTGCAGTAACTTGTGATTTTAAAATAAAAATTGACTTGTTATTTCTATGTTCTGCGTATAATTGTGAGAATAATCACCAATTTTTGGAAAATAAGTGTCATTCACCCGAAATAAATATTGCCAATAATCTTAGCTTGAGCTTAAGATTGAGCCTAAACATAAGCCTTGACCTAAGCTTAGGCTAAAGCTATTCGCCTAGCTTCAATTTGAGCATTACTTACCCCCTAATCTTAAGTTTTAGCTGAGTTATGTCGTTTTTGTTTTTTTAGACGTTTCGGTTTTAGATGTTTTGGACGCCTTCTCTGTTATAGGCGATTAAGGCTATACCTTTTTATCTTGAGTAAATCCCCTCCCATTATACGCCCCCTCATGAATGAAGCCCCCCCCCAGGGGGTCGGCCAACGTAAGCTCCCTATATTGTACGCCCCCTAAAAATGAGGTTTTTTGACACTTTTTCGTAGGTTTATGCATTTTTGAGCATTTTAGGTATTCCTAAGCATTCGACGCTATATTCGTATCTGTTTTATATATTTTTTATGTTTTGCTAAATTTTTCAGGATTTTACCTCTATTTCTGTCAGTTTTTATGCCAGAACATATCCTGTTTCTACACATATTAGTTTGTTTAAATAGGTTTTTGAACAAAATAACAACAAAAAATTTGTTTGAACATTCCTGAATGAATTGGAAAAGGTATAGAAGTCTGAATTTGAACAGGTATACCGTATTTTCTTTAATTGAGCCCCCTCTCAAATTCGCGCTCGAATTGGCGAAGCTTGGCAATCCACTTTATAGCTTCTAGAAAATTCTGAATTTGAAATATGTCCTTAGCTACAACATATCAAAAATTCAGAATTTTTAGCAAATGAAAAAACCACAAAACGGCCTTGGAATAACCTTGGCGTTCTGCCGAGGGGGCTCAATTAAAGAAAATACGGTATCTGAAGAGATTCCTATATTAAAACAAATTTTCCTAAGTGTTTCACAAAAACCATAACATTTTTATAACTGTTTATAGTTAGTTTTCACCAATTAATGCATAAAGTTTTGGCTTTTTGATTGTTTTAAGATTTTATCTTGAATTGATTGATTTTTATAACTACTAAAAACGCAAAATCCTACACATATAAAAAAACACATTGTTTAAAAACCTGCAATTTGGTATATTGAATAAAGTTGACAAAAATTAGCTATGTTTTTGAAAAATTTTGTCTAATTCTTTAGATTACTTTATAAAAAATTGAAAAATTTTGGAAAAATGATAGGAAAAATTTAAATTTCTGCCTTAATATTTTTATAAACTACAGATTTGACGAATATCTCAAACAGTATTGACTTGTGAAAATCAGTGTTGACTTTCCTCTTTGGTTTGATTGCAATATTTTGCTGGTATATATTTAAGGTCAGCAATGGCGTGAATCTAGAATTCAAGTAAACCATTTTATTAAAATGCAAACTACTTATGTGCTTGTGCTAAACTACTTATCATTACTCGCGTTGAGTGATACTCAAATTAAAAGGTTTTCTATTTCGCAAAATGTCGAAAGAAAGGAAGAAACAGAGAAAAAGAAGAGAGTAGAACAAAAAATAAAACACTTCAATTGTAAAAATAACACCAATTTTAACACAAGATACGGGTATTTGCTTCCATTTTAGCCCTGCACCATAACTTTACCAATCCTTGACACTGACAATAAAATTGTGTAATAAAATACAATTCGTAAAATTTACATGCGACACAATTTTCGAATAGAGAGATAAACATGACTTTCTGAGGATCTCGAAGATATAGGACGTAATTAGAAAATAAAAAACGAAATGTAAACTTTTATTAGCGAATAACTCATTTTATTTTTAAAGTTTTTGAGTTCGAAACCATAAAAAACGTTCAAAATCCGAGCCAAATTACTTTATATACTAAAAATATATTATATCCATTAAAATTTAAACAGCTAAAAAAGACTCCAGCGAGACGGGATTGATCCGCCGACCTGAGCATGGCTTCGTTCAACTCTACAGTGCCCCGCTCTACCAACTGAGCTATCGCTGGAACTGAGAGAAACTTGGGAAACCATAGTTAAATAATTTAAGCTCAGGTAAGCTAGTTCATGTTAAATTTCGCGCTTGTTGCAAAACCGCTAAAAAATTCTGAATTTTTTTGGGTCTAATAAATCTTCAAAATAAATTTGTGAAAATTTCTAGAAGCTTTTATGTATCTACCAGGCGGGGACATATGTTCGTGCAAAAAGATCCTTATCAGTTTCTTCCTTCCTCCCTTCTTCGAAGTGAGTTAGACAGAAAAAGACACGAAGAGAGAGTATGGCGCCAATTCAAACCAGCAATTTATTTTTGCACGAACATATGTCCCCGCCTGGTACTCTAGCTAAGTCGCACCCGTGTGTCAGGAGTGACAGTTAAGGCCTGTTCACAATAGCGAGACCGAGACCGAGACCGAGACCGACGGACCGACCGATGTGTTCACAATAGCGACCGAGACCGAGACCGAGTCCGAGACCGAGACCGACGTGTTCACAATCAACGCGACCGAGACCGAGACCGATACCGAGTCCGAGACCGAGACCGATGAAAATTGACCTTCGCCAAAAAATCGCATTTTTCTATAAATTCTTTCAGATATGGCTAAAGTGCGACCAATACAAAACTTGTAGGGGAGACCCTTACGGTTCTTATAGAAAAGACCATTTTGCTGAATATCAACAATTAAATGTCGAGAGTGCGGATGTGAAAAAAATGCTGATTTTTTTTCACAAAAATTCAAATCCATTTGAAATCATTTTACACGCGTCGGTACTCCGGTACTTTTTTGACGCGATCCGACCAAACGGTTTTTTGCATATGGTCGCACATGTCCTGGGCTCCATTTTATGAAATAACATCGCAGTCGTCGAGTTTGTGAAAAATGTCGAGAATTTCGATTTTCAATTTGCCAATTTCGTCGGTCTCGGTGTCGGTCTCGCCCATTTTCAGCTATTTCCAAATTGAGAGGAAATATGTGGTGGAAAAGTGGCAAAGACTGCTATTAGGGTTATCGGCCACGGGGAATTCAGATTTTCTGTCAGATTTGACACCAACTTTGAATTTTTGGCGCGTTTTGGCATTATGCCCAAATATGGTCATTTTTCGGGATTTTTGCCAAAATCGAAGAAGTCTCCGCACAAAATATGCTTCTAGGGGTAATTTTTTGTCCTGAATCCGAATATGACATTATATTTTAACAAATTATCACATTTTTGGCGTTTTCTTGGCATTCTGCCCAAATGCAGAAAACGCACATATTTACCCTATTATTTGACCATAATTCGAGATTTTATATCTAAGGATCCTGTCAGCCGTTTTTCATGAGTAATAGCTCATTTGAAAGCCCGTGAGCTGCAGAAACGAGAAAATTTTATATTTTCATTATTTAAAATTTGAATTCGCGCCAAATCTTAAAAACGTGTTTTTTTGGGTTTTGATCAGGAAAAATATATTGTTTCATGATTTATATTGTAAATATCGGTCATTTAGAATATTGCTGCTTTTATATTTACGAAGTCACCTGTTTGCTATAAGAATTTGGTCATTTTTGATATTTTCGGCCAAAAAGCCGATATTTTGGTATTTGACCACATAAAGAGGTGAGAATTTGTCAGAAAATTTTGCCGATTTCACCTACAAAGGGGTTTTTTGATTCGGGGTATCCGAATTTGACGTCAGATTTTAGCTGGTCCCGCCACGAAAATAAGGAAAACCGCTATTTCCTTCAAAAAATCGCCATTTTTCGCCAAAAATAGGCCAAAAATGGCAATTTTTGACGCGATATGAGGAAACTAATTGCAGATTCGGAATCAGCGCATCGAAATACCCCTAAAAACACAATTTGCGACAAATCTCAAAAATTTTGATTTTTTGCCATTTTCGGACCATAGGGGGGACCACATGGGGTGCGCCCTATTTGCCTAAACCCCGTTTGCCTAAACCCTGTTTGCCTACGACGATTTGCCTAAACCCTGTTTGCCTAAATCCTGTTTGCCTAAACCCTGTTTGCCTAAACCCTGTTTGCCTAAACCCCGTTTGCCTAAAGTATACCGTGACGATATAAAGCATTTAAGAAAGCATCTGACAGTAGAATGTTCTAGAATGAATAAAAATTTGACAGTAGAATGTTCTAGAATGAATAAAAAAGCTGCATTCTTTGTAAATAGCATTTTTCTTCTTTGTTTTCTAAGTTTGGGAGGTTTTGGTTGCTTGCGGATTTTATAAACCGTTTTAAATTTAAAATGACAGAGAAGCATAGAAATGTGCCTCAGGGAATAAACTACGAGTTGCAATATACGGAGAAAATCATGCCGATGCTCGTCTTCAACGGCTACTATCATCATTTCAACGGCTCTCGTGATACGATAGAAGGGCAAGTCTACTATTGGAGATGTGTTAAGCGTGCAGAACTCGGTGTGGATAAATGTTCAGGTATTTTTATGGTATTACTTGAAATCTTGTAAACAATTTTTAATCATTTTACTTTTTATGGCACTTTTTGAAATAATTTCGTTCGCTTATATGCTTGTTTATAGGCACTGCGTCCGTCAAAGAAAATCCTGACAAGCAATGGCAGGCATATGCGGGCCGAACGCAACATAACCATGAGCCGAATGCAATTCAAGCATCTATTCGAACTTTTCAACATGAGTTGCGCTCAGAGGCCCTCAATGGTGCAAAAGCAACACGTGAAGTAGTCAAAGAAAGCGTGGAGAAAATGCCGGAATATGCCAAGGCTCTCGTTGACCCTAGCCCGGCTTCCAAAATTGTTCGAAAAGTTCGTCGCAAGCGAAAGCTCGAGACAAATATACCGCTCAGTGAGCCGAAAACATTGCACGAGATTCAGGTAAAAGTTTGTTACTATACAAGTTTTACGAAAATTTTACTTTTAAGAATTTTGTTTACAAATCACTAATCAGAAAATTAGTCTAAATATTATCTAAATGGCATATCTAAATAGAAAAATTCTCTAAGTAGCATGTTTCAGATAAACGACGACATGAAATATTTCAAGGACAAATTAATTGTGTACTACAATGACTTCACAGGTGATGACGAATACGTCGTAATCATGTCAAGCGAGAAGCTTTTGGATAATCTCGCGAAATTTTCCCACTGGGGATGCGATGCCACTTTCAGCATTGTGAGTTAATTTTTATTAAGATTTTGAAGAAAGGAATATTTCCGTTGTAGGCCCCCTTGCTATTTCGGCAGCTCTGGATAATTTACGTCAAAATAAACCATAGCTACTGCCCTGTCGTATTCTGTTTGATGACCACCAAGTCCGAGAAGTCATACAACATGATTCTTAGCCAGCTCACGCTTTTGCGCCCACAATTAAAACCGACATATGTTGCGTTGGATTTCGAAAAGGCTGAGCACAATGCGTTCAAGGTAAAATTTATTGGATATTATTTATTGATAATATTTATTGGAAATAAAATGGAAAACGCTTGAAAACTTTGATTTTGTTTCATTTTTTATACCACAATGCCAATTTGATTAATTTGTTTTAGAACGCTTTCCCTGAATGTTCTCTCAACGGTTGTTTCTTCCACCTTCAAAACGCGGTTTTCTCGCACATTTCCGAATTGGGATTCAAACGTCTGTACAATGCGGACTCAGATTTTCGTTTCCAGTGTCAAATGTTACCAGCAATATCGGCGCTACCTCCGGAGAGAACTTGCTCAGCAATTTGCGATTTGAGGGAATACTACGAGCACTCTAAATTTTCTACCGAACTTTCAAAATTGATGGACTATTTTGAATCAAGGTATGTTGGCCGAATTACTGGCGTAAATGTGACAGCCACAGGAACAACAATTCGAATCACTGGCGTAGATGTGACAGCCGAAGGAACAAAAATTCGCAGAAAGGCACCGCTATTTGAGAAGGATATCTGGAACATCAACGCAATGATTCTCAGCGAGCAACCAAAAACAAGCAACTCAATCGAATCTTTTAATAAGGTAAATTAATAGGAAAACTGATAGGAAAACTAGTTTGGTTAAATTTTAGCAATTGGCAAAATGTATAGGCCATAGTCACCCGTCCATCTACCGGCTAATACCGGAAATTGGGGCGGAAATACTTTGGGCGGAGAGCAAAATCGGCGCGTATCTCGCGGGTGGAAAGTTCCCTAGACGGAACGGAAGATACGTTGAAGTGCAAAAGCGCCTCCGAAATGCCGTCATACGTAACACAGAGGTGAAATCAAACAACATTTCTTTCTTGAAGGCCATAGCGATGAATTTGGGACGCGTGGATCACAGTAAAAGTAATCCCGAAAATTTCTCAAAAATTAATTAAAATTATTAATTAAGTTTATTAATTTCAGACAATAAACCAGTTATCAAAGCAGAAGAAGCAGAAGACCTTAGTGGAAAGATACCACAGCCAAGGACACGCTCAAGTTCTGTTCCACCTCGCAAAGATAGTTAGTTTATTTACTTTTAACAAAAAATTTCTAAATGTGGCTATTCAGGACGATCTGACCCGAATTCACCTGAAATCCAGTGCATGACGAAACTGAATGTTGTTCGCCGCGTCCTCAAGCTCGACATGCTCGATGACGATTTTCTGCATCAAATCTGCATCAAACATGGATACAATCAAGAGAAGCGCGCTTATGAGGCATCCTTCAAATATTTCTCCTCTACAGAGGCAAAACCATCTCGAACTTGGTGTGTTTTTGGGGACGGAAACTGCATTTTGAGGTCAGTTTAATAGTAGAAGCGTATTTTATACGCAGTTTAAAAAATAAAAGTTAACTAAATAATAGAGAAAAAGAAATATATAAAAATAAATGCTAATATAAATGTATTTTGTATCATGTTTAGAAGCGTTGCGGTCGCAGTATCCGGCGACGAGGAAAATCATCTAGCTGTCCGCCGCGATGTTGGTAACTACATCATAAAACACCGAGAAAAATGCAACAGAGCGCGCTGTTGGTGTCGCACTTACAACATACCAAACGACCTTCTCTTGGAATCAGCTCAGAACTGCGGTGAC